AAAAAAAAAAAAAAAAAAACGAAACTAAGATAAGTTTTTCATTTTTTGACGTATTTGATGAAACATCTTTTACTTGGTTCAGTAAGTTCATTTCAGATTTTTTTACATTTTATAGAAACAGCAACAAAAAATAATAATTAGCAGAACAGAAAAAAATTAGAAAAACTTTAGCATGAATAATATATTTATTCTTTAATTTTTGATTTTGTTACTGCAAAAAATTTTAGTTGCGTTTAAAAAAAAAATTTTCAGTTTTTCTGAATACATTATTATTTACTGCAAAAAATGTTGGTGTTTTGAGCGTTCAGTTTAGAATAGAAAAAAGAAAAGTCCTTTTTTTTTTATTGTTATTGATCATCAAATTTCCAAATATTTAAAAGTTTTGACAGTAACGATAACGACGACAACCAAAAAAAGCAGTTTCAAACCTCTTTTTTTGTTTGACAGCAGCCTAAACAGCCAACATTTGTACTCAACGGTTTTCCAGCAGTTTCGACAGAATTGAAATCACTGGAAGAATCAAGAAAATTAATGATACTGATGGCGATGACGATGAAGATGATGTTAATTTTTGCTGCTACTGTTGCTGTTGTTGTCGTCGACTTTTGAAAAGTAAATTTAGTAGGAAAAAAACGATGAAACAAGGCAGTAAAGAAAATTGTCATTAGTATAGCACTGTTTTTGGTCCTTGAAACTTTAAAAGCCAAAAAAAAACTGTCTGTTGTACATAGAAGTAAACAGACACAGATAAATCTATGATATTCAAATTAACAGATTTATGATTCAACTACCTGCATAAAAAATATCTCCGTATGTATCATACAGCTGAATTGGAGTTCATTTGAGATGGCCAAATGAGTAATGTTGTTCAGTTGTTTTAACTGTAAAATAACACTTAACCTTTTCTTTTTAATTTATCATATATTGTTAATCAAATATAACTAAAAAAAAATTTTTTTTTTTGTTGAGACTATTATACAGTAAAAATGAGTAATAAAGATGACAGCAAAAATAACTTCTTATGAAATAACACTTTTGTACAGCATTTTTTAACATATATAAACAAACACGTATAGAGTAAAGCTTTTCGATAATAAAGCAGTTAAATGTAATTAAATTACAAAAAAAGCATATATACATAATTAAATTAAAAAGAAAAAAAAGATAAAAAGTTGATGATAAATATAATCAATGTACATATATGTACAGTATATATGTACAGTATCCGCCAAGCACCGTATCTGCCGTCTTCTTCTTCATTGGACAGTCAAAGCTTACTGGCACAGATAATGCAGTAAGCCATTGACCATAGAAGCAGGCATCTGCTGTACGGTCATAGTTTTTCTATATATTATTGACCGTTTACAGCTGTGTCTAAGGAGCACTTTTGTCGGCTTGTAGCGAACTGAATTCATCGAACAATAAACTGTCGGGTTGCCCGAAAATGATTTTGTTCTTGGAATAAAACAACAATTTGTCCAGAAGAAATTATACCATAAAGTCTTGGTGAAGGGTCCAACTGTTTATCGGTTGAACATATTGAAGCCATCATCGAAGATTGCATCTTGCCAAACTAAATGCATATGGTCGATTAAAAAACTGATAAAAAAAATACTTCAATAAAAAGCACTTTAAAATTATTATTATTTGTAGAAAAGAAATAAAAAAAAAAAGAAAATAAAAAAAAGCAGATTAAAAAAAAAGTACCGGATGCTCCTTCAAGATTACACATGGTATTGGATCTCCCAGCACATGGCACATACGGAGCTGCATCGGCGATGACAAAGAGCAGCAAGAAACTGGCGATTAGAAGAATTACTACAGCATCACTTGGCACTGACATCTTTCCTTTCTTCTTCTTCTTCTTTTCTTTTTCTTCTACGTTAAACAGCACACAATTCAATGGAATTTTTGTCTTACAACTGAAGTTGATGTTCAAATTGCATTGGGTCTTTTATATAAGCATAAAATCATTCGGGGGACGGCAAAAATAACAACAACAAACAGTAAAAAAATTCCTTTGAAAGTCATAAAGTAGGCGGTGATTATTTGAGCAATGAAGTATTCCACCAACAGAAAAAAAAAAAAAAACTAAAAACACATCATTGGTGGTGTTAAATACGTCATTGTCACATCGGCGGTATCGTCGTCATTCAATTTTTCAATTTTTTTGTTGATGACCGCAAATTAAAATTTGGAAGACAAAAAAAAAAAGAAACGAAAGAAATATTTTATGTTTCAAATATTTTATAGTTTCTGTAATTGTTGTCAGCAAAAATGAAACTACAAAAACGTCGTTTGAAAGAAATTCGTTTTTCAATGAATTTTTGTTTAAAAGAAAGGCAAACTTTTTTGCAAGTAAGTAACTATTTGTGGTAATATTTCTTTTTTTGCGTTACGGTTTATCGCAAATTCAGTAGTCAGACGTAAATGAAATTAGCATCTGATCTAGACAAAATATAGGCAAAATTGTTGGATAATAACTGTGAAGGAGAAAAGAAGGAAACAGGGACTCTGTTTTGTTCAAAAAAAATTTCAACCATCAAAGATCAACTATTTTGTTTTCTTGTTTTTCTTTCTTTCTTTTTTTTTTTTTTGTTTAATGTGTTTCATATTTCATCACGTTTTTTTTTCTAATTTGATTGTCAACCACGTGACTTGAAAAATTAAACGAAAATTTTGAAAAAAAAAAAAACAGGGAAAGAATTTGAAGGAGTTTTTTGCGAGATGCAATTCTACAACCTATGATTGTTGTAAAAATCATACGATCGCCGAATGGAATCAGTAAATGTTCAATTAAGTTACTTAGTTACCTTAGTAATTTGATTATTTTTTTAATAAACTGTTTACTACTTTACTTCTTTTTGCTGACTTCAGTTTTTTCTTTCTTTTTTTTTTTTGTCTTCGTTTACTACTGGATGCTATCTGTTAGCTAAAGAAAGATTTCGTGCATAAAATTAAAGGTTCATCTAAAAATAACCTTCAAAACGTTCGTTTCGCTAACAAAAAAACTAAAAATAACTGACTGACAAATTGTTGTCAGTGTCATTTGTTGTTATTGGTAAATTCTGTATGACATCAATCTCTGGTTCAAAATTCTGGACTGGTAACATCAGATTCAGTTAGGAGAGTAGAGACGAGTTTAATCGAAATTTTGAGCTGCAGATGGGAAGCAGATAAGACTGGTAATTTTGTGCTTTTGTCTCAGTAGTTTAGTTTAGTTTAGTCTAGTGTTTGTTTGAAAAAAGTGCTGAAAGAAATTTTATAATCTGTAGTTGCCATAGTTTATTTTGTTGATTTTATTTTGCTCTTCGTGCATACAAACTACATTAGTTGTTCATTTTTTTTACTCTCTAATCTACCGTTACGTTTATTAACCCTTCCAAATAATTTGACAATTTTTCTGTGCAAAAATTTGATGTCACAAAAAAAAAAACAAGTAATTACTGTCAAAATTTACTGGTAAAGTAACGTCATAAAAAAGTATAAATTTTGTCGACCATACGTTTTAGCACACATCAACTAATACCTGTTGCAAATTTCATACTAGAAACCAGATTTAATGTGCACATAGGCTGACTACAGAGGCAACTGTTTAAACTATGGTTGAACCTAACTACCTTTAATTAACTTCTCCTCAACAATGTTTCATTTTCAAAAACTTGTTTCCGCTTTAGTTATTTCTGATATTTCTGTTATTGGTTTAAAAAAGAGGGGTTTTTCCTTTCAAAATAATATTTAGAACAAAATTATTGCAGAATGATATGATATTGTTTATAAAACAAGACAAAATTTAGTTTATTTTAGTAGTCAAAAATTAAAGCAATAAAAGTATCGCTGTTGATTACATTTTAACAGTTACATCGAAATACAAATCATCTTTGTTTTTATGACTAAAGTTGTTTTAAAGTTAAATAGTAAAACTAAGAAGGATAATTATGATACTGCAAAATTGTGAACTACCAATTACTATCTGTGGAAAATCATATGAACTATTCAAATGATTGTATCAGACGTGAATAACTAGCTAAATTTTTAAAAACTTTGGTCATGCATTTTGCGGTAATTTCATGTGATTTGGTATGTGTAATTTATAGAAAAAAGTTATTAAAAATAGAACATTTAATAGGTCATATATTTACTTCAATTTATTCTTAAAATTATTTTCTTTTTTTTGCTTATAATTTAATTTACGTTGAGCGCTTTTATTT